CTGGTCCTTATTAAGCAAAACAGAACTATCTAAGTCTTATGACCTTTTAGTGTGAAGTAGAGTCAGGAAGATAGTTTCAGGGATCCACTGGAGCCACCCCAGAAATTGTATTTCATTGCAGGCGATGAGTCACAATAACGTGGCTGAAGTATGTTGACCAGACCACACACTAGAAATTGAAGGGACGACGACGTTTCGGTCCGTCCTGGACCATTCTCAAGTCGATTGTGTATTTCATTACATTCAATGCTGTTTGTTTTTTCTGAGTAAAATCATCCTTGATCACCTGAGGTTGGGGGGCTGGGTATACCATCCTTGATCACCTGAGGTAGGGGGGCTGGGTATACCAACCTTGATCATCTGAGGTAGGGGGGCTGGGTATACCAACCTTGTTCACCTGAGGTAGGGGGGCTGGGTATACCAACCTTGTTCACCTGAGGTAGGGGGGCTTGGTATACCATCCTTGATCACCTGAGGTAGGGGGGCTGGGTATACCAACCTTGGTCACCTGAGGTAGGGGGGGGGGCTGGGTATACCATCCTTGATCACCTGAGGTAGGGGGGGGCTGGGTATACCATACTTGATCACCTGAGGTAGGGGGGGCTGGGTATACCATCCTTGATCACCTGAGGTAGGGGGGGGGGCTGGGTATACCATCCTTGATCACCTGAGGTAGGGGGGGCTGGGTATACCATCCTTGATCACCTGAGGTAGGGGGGGGGCTGGGTATACCATCCTTGATCACCTGAGGTAGGAGGGGGGGCTGGGTATACCATCCTTGATCACCTGAGGTAGGGGGGGCTGGGTGTACCATCCTTGATCACCTGAGGTAGGGGGGGCTGGGTATACCATCCTTGATCACCTGAGGTAGGGGGGCTGGGTATACCATCCTTGATCACCTGAGGTAGGAGGGGGGGGCTGGGTATACCACCATCTGAGGTTGATCACCTGAGGTAGGGGGGCTGGGTATACCATCCTTGATCACCTGAGGTAGGGGGGCTGGGTATACCATACTTGATCACCTGAGGTAGGGGGGGCTGGGTATACCATCCTTGATCACCTGAGGTAGGGGGGGTGCTGGGTATACCATACTTGATCACCTGAGGTAGGGGGGGGCTGGGTATACCATACTTGATCACCTGAGGTAGGGGGGGGGCTGGGTATACCATACTTGATCACCTGAGGTAGGGGGGGGGGGCTGGGTATACCATACTTGATCACCTGAGGTAGGAGGGGGGGGGGCTGGGTATACCATACTTGATCACCTGAGGTAGGGGGGGGCTGGGTATACCATACTTGATCACCTGAGGTAGGGGGGGGGGGCTGGGTATACCATCCTTGATCACCTGAGGTAGGGGGCTGGGTATACCATACTTGATCACCTGAGGTAGGGGGGGGGCTGGGTATACCATACTTGATCACCTGAGGTAGGGGGGGGGCTGGGTATACCATACTTGATCACCTGAGGTAGGGGGGGGGCTGGGTATACCATCCTTGATCACCTGAGGTAGGGGGGCTGGGTATACCATACTTGATCACCTGAGGTAGGGGGGCTGAGTATACCATCCTTGATCACCTGAGGTAGGGGGGCTGGGTATACCATCCTTGATCACCTGAGGTAGGGGGGCTGGGTATACCATCCTTGATCACCTGAGGTAGGGGGGCTGGGTATACCATACTTGATCACCTGAGGTAGGGGGGCTGAGTATACCATCCTTGATCACCTGAGGTAGGGGGGCTGGGTATACCATCCTTGATCACCTGAGGTAGAGGGGGCTGGGTATGCCATCCTTGATCACCTGAGGTAGGGGGGGGGCTGGGTATACCATCCTTGATCACCTGAGGTAGGGGGGGGGGGCTGGGTATACCATACTTGATCACCTGAGGTAGAGGGGGGCTGGGTATACCATCCTTGATCACCTGAGGTAGGGGGGCTGAGTATACCATCCTTGATCACCTGAGGTAGGAGGGCTGGGTATACCATCCTTGATCACCTGAGGTAGGGGGGGCTGGGTATACCATCCTTGATCACCTGAGGTAGAGGGGCTGGGTATACAATCCTTGATCACATGAGGTAGGGGGGCTGGGTATACCATACTTGATCACCTGAGGTAGGGGGGCTGGGTATACCATCCTTGATCACCTGAGGTAGGAGGGGGGGCTGGGTATACCATCCTTGATCACCTGAGGTAGGGGGGCTGGGTATACCATCCTTGATCACATGAGGTAGGGGGGCTGGGTATACCATACTTGATCACCTGAGGTAGGGGGGCTGGGTATACCATCCTTGATCACCTGAGGTAGGGGGGCTGGGTATACCATCCTTGATCACCTGAGGTAGGAGGGGGGGCTGGGTATACCATCCTTGATCACCTGAGGTAGGGGGGCTGGGTATACCATACTTGATCACCTGAGGTAGGGGGGCTGGGTATACCATCCTTGATCACCTGAGGTAGGGGGGGGCTGGGTATACCATCCTTGATCACCTGAGGTAGGGGGGCTGGGTATACCATCCTTGATCACCTGAGGTAGGGGGGCTGGGTATACCATCCTTGATCACCTGAGGTAGGGGGGGCTGGGTATACCATCCTTGATCACCTGAGGTAGGGGGGGCTGGGTATACCATACTTGATCACCTGAGGGGGGGCTGGGTATACCATCCTTGATCACCTGAGGTAGGGGGCTGGGTATACCATCCTTGATCACCTGAGGTAGGAGGGCTGGGTATACCATCCTTGATCACCTGAGGTAGGGGGGGCTGGGTATACCATCCTTGATCACCTGAGGTAGGGGGGGCTGGGTGTACCATCCTTGATCACCTGAGGTAGGGGGGGCTGGGTATACCATACTTGATCACCTGAGGTAGGGGGCTGGGTATACCATCCTTGATCACCTGAGGTAGGGGGGCTGGGTATACCATCCTTGATCACCTGAGGTAGGGGGGGCTGGGTGTACCATCCTTGATCACCTGAGGTAGGGGGGGCTGGGTATACCATACTTGATCACCCGAGGTAGGGGAGGCTGGGTATACCATCATTGATTACCTGAGGTAGGGGGGGCTGGGTATACCATCCTTGATCACCTGAGGTAGGGGTGGGGCTGGGTATACCATCCTTGATCACCTGAGGTAGGGGTGGGGCTGGGTATACCATCCTTGATCACCTGAGGTAGGGGTGGGGCTGGGTATACCATCCTTGATCACCTGAGGTAGGGGTGGGGCTGGGTATACCATCCTTGATCACCTGAGGTAGGGGGGGGGCTGGGTATACCATACTTGATCACCTGAGGTAGGGGGGGGGGGCTGGGTATACCATCCTTGATCACCTGAGGTAGGGGGGCTGAGTATACCATCCTTGATCACCTGAGGTAGGGGGGCTGGGTATACCATCCTTGATCACCTGAGGTAGGGGGGGGCTGGGTATACCATCCTTGATCACCTGAGGTAGGGGGGCTGGGTATACCATCCTTGATCACCTGAGGTAGGGGGGGCTGGGTATACCATACTTGATCACCTGAGGTAGGGGGGTTGAGTATACCATCCTTGATCACCTGAGGTGGGGGGGCTGGGTATACCATACTTGATCACCTGAGGTAGGGGGGGCTGGGTATACCATACTTGATCACCTGAAGTAGGGGGGGCTGGGTATACCATCCTTGATCACCTGAGGTAGGGGGGGCTGGGTATACCATCCTTGATCACCTGAGGTAGGAGGGGGGGGCTGGGTATACCATCCTTAATCACCTGAGGTAGGGGGGCTGAATATACCATCCTTGATCACCTGAGGTAGGAGGGCTGGGTATACCATCCTTGATCACCTGAGGTAGGGGGGGGCTGGGTATACCATCCTTGATCACCTGAGGTAGGGGGGGCTGGGTGTACCATCCTTGATCACCTGAGGTAGGGGGGGCTGGGTATACCATACTTGATCACCTGAGGTAGGGGAGGCTGGGTATACCATCCTTGATTACCTGAGGTAGGGGGGGCTGGGTATACCATACTTGATCACCTGAGGTAGGGGGGCTGGGTATACCATCCTTGATCACCTGAGGTAGGGAGGGGGCTGGGTATTCCATCCTTGATCACCTGAGGTAGGGGGGGGGGCTGGGTATACCATCCTTGATCACCTGAGGTAGAGGGTGGGGCTGGGTATACCATACTTGATCACCTGAGGTAGGGGGGCTGGGTATACCATCCTTGATCACCTGAGGTAGGGGTGGGGCTGTGTATACCATCCTTGATCACCTGAGGTGGGGGGGGGGCTGGGTATACCATACTTGATCACCTGAGGTAGGGGGGCTGGGTATACCATACTTGATCACCTGAGGTGGGGGGGGGCTGGGTATACCATACTTGATCACCTGAGGTTGGAGGGGGGGGCTGGGTATACCATCCTTGATCACCTGAGGTAGGAGGGGGGGCTGGGTATACCATCCTTGGTCACCTGAGGTAGGGGGGCTGGGTATACCATCCTTGAGCACCTGAGGTAGGGGGGGGCTGGGTATACCATACTTGATCACCTGAGGTTGGAGGGGGGGGCTGGGTATACCATCCTTGATCACCTGAGGTAGGAGGGGGGGCTGGGTATACCATCCTTGGTCACCTGAGGTAGGGGGGCTGGGTATACCATCCTTGAGCACCTGAGGTAGGGGGGCTGGGTATACCATCCTTGATCACCTGAGGTAGGAGGGCTGGGTATACCATCCTTGATCACCTGAGGTAGGGGGGGCTGGGTATACCATCCTTGATCATCTGAGGTAGGGGGGCTGGGTATACCATCCTTGATCACCCGTGGTGAGGGGGGGGCTGGGTATACCATCTTTGATCACCTGTGGTGGGGGGGGCTGGGTATACCATCTTTGATCACCTGTGGTGGGGGGGGGGCTGGGTATACGAACCTTGATCAACTGAGGATGGAGGGCTGGGGTATACTAACCTAATTTGCCATAACATAATTCAACAAGTTCTGCTTTTTTTTAATTGCTGCTTCTCTGTTTTGCAGATTTATATAACCTAAGAGGATCAGACATAGCATACAACCCAGTGTTTTTTTCTTATGCCTCAGTAACTGAAAATGAAGCTTTCATATTTATTAATGAATCTCAGCTAACATCAGCTGCAAGAGAAGCTCTACAGGATGAAGAGATCAAAGTCATCATCAGGCCTTATGAGGATTTTGCAAAGTTTATTGATGACCAGGTGTGTATTTATATTGATTGTTTTGCAATAAGAATTTGGTTTTCTACAGATTTTGATCTGTAATTTTACACTTTAGAGTTGAACTTATAGGTAATCTTTATTCTTTATAATATATTTTGGTATACAAGAAATTTGTTCAGAGTATCCTAATAGTTATGATACAAATCCATATTTCTGGGAGTCTGGGAATCACCAGATCGCTAGTTCAATTCACTCCATTGCCTCGTAATGATTTTCACTAACATCACTTATCAAATCTTGTTATGTCAGATACAAAATTATCAGTCCTCGAACATGAGTATACCCATGCTCCTTGTACCGGCACCACCACAACAGCTTAGTTTTATTGCATTAAATCTCCGTTGGTCAAGAGATGAAGCTCTTCTACCTTGTATACTAGGGCGACCAGGAAAAGTAGATGTAGAGGGCACACTGTCCTCAGTGTCGTCATGGGTGACACTTGGGAGAGCGTGCTGCTGACCTCGCTTTACCGAGTCACCGAAGCTCTCCAATGTTAATTACTCCACTAATTAACCTGAGCCACTATTGCTATACCCCAGTCTCGAGCATATTACGTTAACACAAGTACTGACAGATGACAGATCCTCTCCCACTACGTGAATTCTGAGAAGGCTAATTACATAATTAGCTAGAGTGGTCAATTAATTGTCACATGGACAATTAATTGCTCCCGAGACGTATCTCATTCTAGCTCAACACTGTTTCTCTTAACAGCCCTCACTCACTCCACAATACTAAGTGTGCACCCCTTATCCAGTTAATTACCCCTTACTTAATTAACTCACTGAATCCTTAAGTCCTCAACACAACTTAAAGAAACAAAGTAACAGCCATAGGTCACACTACAATGGCATGCAACATCATAACAGCACTGCCCACATATGGTTGCGGCTACTGCAACTCGCACTGTGCCCACACAATAATGACACACGGTTGTTCAACACACAAAAGTATACTAATATTACTGCCCCCCTCTTATCTTCTTGCACCCGATTAGGAATACTGTGAACACACACACGTACCTCAGCAAGGCAATTAACCCATCAATTGCCTGCTCTCATTAAGTACTGTGAATTCCCCTGAATAATCCTAGAGGTCCCTTAAACCCTCAACACAGTTCCTGGGGCAATAATATCGTATAAACTGATAACAATACTGCACAAACCTGCAACATAATGATGCCGTCAGCATACCCCACATGCTAATGACACCATTAGGCAATCAGTCAGCAATCACACCTACTGACTTACCACACAACACAGTACATAAACCAAATGAACACATAGAAATGGCATTCACATAATCAATGAAAATTATATCACCAAGTAATGTGTAACTATCTACACAGACTTCAGGGGTCCCCACTGACATCCCTGCCTACCTCTAATGATTATAATTTTACGGTACTCTATGGCATTAATCCAGTCTGAACGATTATATAGAATCGACAGGCTGGATCACTTATATGGCAAATCTCTACACTGACTGGTTACATACTCTAGTCAGTCTACTAACATACTAACATACAGTGTGGTCCCGTGTATAATATCTATCTCCAGGTACCGCCCCTATCCAACACCTGGATCCCACTGACAGCTGTCACTCAGCTGCTTTTCTAGCCTGGCGAGGCTCTGAGATAACTCTTACCGGGGATTTCCACCGGTACCCTCACACTGTAATAGTACTCATTTCTACTCCTTTCTACTGCCCTCTTTCCCTTATTTTTCCTCATTTCCCAAGTTACTACCACACTAGCTGACAACACTTAGCTGGCTTGCTCCTCATGCGTCGACAAGATGTGGCCCTAGGCTGTCCCGGGAAAGTGGCCAAGGCATGTGGCCAAGGCATGTGGCCAAGGCATGTGCTGAGAGAGGGGGATGGGGTAGGGTTTGGCCGCGCGGGTGGCCTGGGGTAGGGTTTGGCCACGCGGGTGGCCTGGGGTGGCGGTGGGTGGCCGCGGGCTGGCAGGCTGCCGCCCACAGGAGTACCCACGCGGCTGGGGAATCTCAACCCCATCAGACTAGAACCTGCCTTGTTCTACACTGGGGTGACAATGGCCGGCGGTGTCCTCACACTGACGCAGCCTGGCGGAATGCAAAGTCCCACCTGGGCCTGTAATATCACACTCACTTACACTGCCCAACATCAATTGTCCATTGCCATTAGACAGGATACTCGACCCACCTGTTACACCATGAGGCTCTGCCAGCCTGCCTCATGGGTTCACACGGTCAACTGTCTCTTAGCTTTTTACTGTTCCGTAAATCCTTGGCCCCAATTCACTTAATTAGGCCTTGACACAACCCCTGATGGCAGGAGTGCCACCAATCGAGTAATTTGGATGACAGAAGCGATTAACAGGGGGTGGAGGTGGCCGGCGTGCCACCCCCACCAAACACTCCTTCCTTCCCTGGCCGCCCAATTCAAACTGCCTCCCTGGCGGGCGGGAAAACTCAAGATGCCCATACCTTCTCCCTACCATGTCTCGACCAATCAGCTTGGAGCCGGCACGGCTCCTCGTGCCGGATCCAACCATAGCTCTTCGCGCCAAAACTAGGCTTGGAGCACACGGGCCGGACCCAATCATATGCCTCCGTCACCCTCGGGCGTCCTGTGACGTCACAAGGAGGGTGAGGCCTACCGAGTGGCGTGATGTCCCCCATGTGGGGGGAAAGACAGCGTCACTCCACTCTCCCCCCACCTCTAACGGTTTTAGTCCAAGTAACTCACATCCTACTTCACAGAAACAGGAAAATCTCTGTAATTCCCTCTACAGAGCAATCACAGACTTCTAACTACTCACAATTGATAGTTCGTAACACAAGCTTTCATTCAACACCCAACAAGCATATGTTATTTTGAAATCAGTTTCTGGAGTGACTAGCCTAATCTAGAAACTAGGAAAACTAGCTGAGGGATCTAGATCCCTCACAATTATCACTGTTTATGAACGGTAGGTGACACAAATGGTAGTAATACTGGCAAGGGCGATGGCCTGGGATGTTGCAGCAGGCCTGGAGATAACAGTGTATTGTACATACTCGCTGTATCCTCCTCATCTGTGTCTGTATCCCTCTTATCCGATATTTGTGTAAGGCCTCTTATCGGGCTTTGGTTCCTCAACATCACTACCAGAATCTTCTTTAAGGGGGCATTAGTTAGTTTTCTGTGGGGAGCCCCTACAGCTCCCTGGAGCTTATCGGGCTAATGTATGTTATATTAGACCAGGACATTAGCTATGGAGTTCAGACCTACCAGGGACCAGCACCAGAACCTGGCCCCTTCAGAGAGATTTCAGGGAGAGCCCCTACAGCTCCCTGGAGCTTATCGGGCTAATGTATGTTATATTAGACCAGGACATTAGCTATGGAGTTCAGACCTACCAGGGACCAGCGCCAGAACCTGGCCCCTTCAGAGAGATTTCAGGGAACAATGGTCCTGGAAAACCCCTTTATGGTTGGGGTTTTTCCTTATCTGCCATCAACTGGGGTTAGGCACCCAGAAAGGTAGGCATAACAAAACAAACCCCACATGGTAAGAAACTAAAATAAAAAACCAAGAGAGGTAGAAACACCCTACAATCCCAAGGAAACAAGCAAACATCACAACTTGCTGCCACGCCGATTGTCCGTGCAGCCCTTCCCGCCCCAAGAGGGGGAGGGGGGGGCCCCTGGACCTCACCGCGCCGGCTGCCTAGCACTAGTTCGTGAGCTAATGTCAACTGGGACAGACGCTTCTCTGCCCTCAGTTTCCTAGGTGGTGTTTGCCTTCGTTGCGTTCACTGCCTACGGGGGTTGAGCTTTGCTCTTTCGGCCCGCCTCTCAACTGTCAATCAACTGTCCCCACACCACACACACACACACACACCCCAGGAAGCAGCCCGTGACAGCTGACTAACTCCCAGGTACCTATTTACTGCTAGGTAACAGGGGCATTCAGGGTGAAAGAAACTTTGCCCATTTGTTTCTGCCTCGTGCGGGAATCGAACCCGCGCCACAGAATTACGAATCCTGCGCGCTATCCACCAGGCTACGAGGCCCCTTAGAGGCTGTGTGTTGTGTTGTGCGGTGGCCAGGTATTCCTCATCAGTACCAGGGCTGCATGCGCTTAGAGGCTTCCTTCCCTAAGCGCCCTGTGAGTACTGCCCCTGCATGACAGGGTTATATTCCCTGGGGCGTTCAGGAACCATTCCCATAGAGGTTCTTGATGCTCGGCTTTTGCCTCACCCTTTAGGCCAGCTGGGGCTTGGGGTACTTGTTTGGCCTTGAGTAGGGACTGGTGGTGTGCTGGTTAGGGCGTCAAAGTGTTGCACGGCCTGCCACCTACGCGGCGACCGGTTCCTGTTGCCTCTGGGGATGGTGTACTTTTGCGGGGATTTTCTTTTGTTTTTATTTTCTTTACATGGTGGGGACTGCCTAGTGTGACTATAGTTCCACTGGTAGTGTTTGGTGGCCCTCTGCTAGGCCCCTGTGATTGTACACGTTGCAGGGGTTTTCAGTGTTGCATCTACCCCTTGTTAGCTTGGGTGTTTAACCGGTAAGCAACACCTTGCCCGGGCTTCCCGTAGTTATCCTACGAGCCCTGGAAAAGCCTGTCCGGGCTTGGTGGACCATTGGATGTGTCTTCTGGGTTCCATCTGTCTTATGCGGGTTCGTTGGTTGCTGTGCCCTTGTCTCAGGGTGACGGTCACCACTTTTACCAACGTCATGCTACCTGTTGGGTCACTGACACCTTGACCCGGAGTCTTGCGAGAGGTGTTCTCTGCTTGTTCTCCAGTACTCGTCTGATATCCTGATATTATTCAGAGTACAGGTGGCATCCATGTTGCAAGCTAGGTTTAGGTTGCTTCGACGCGCTAGGTTGGTTTTCCATCCGGATGCCCCTTCCTGTTCCCAGCTCCTGACAGTCTGCGGGTTTCGGGGTCGGGGCGGGGTTTAGTTGGTGCCGAGACTTGGGCGGCTTCGGGGGCTGCCCCGTTCGGGTTGGGGACGGAGGTTTTCAAGCCTGTTCCTCCTGCCAAGGCTTCTGGGTCTTACCAGTGA